GTAGGGCAGCTGTAACAGGCGTAGATATTATAGGAGCCGTGTTTGGGTTCCGGCTGAGTGTGAGTCTCAGCCCCTATATACAGAAGTTTAAAAGAAAATTTGTTTGTTTATTGCTTACATTTTATTAGGTCTTTGTGGTTACGTTTGGTGCATATACATATGTTACATTTGTCTTGTGGTTGAGCGTATATATTTTTTTTTTTGGTTTCCGTGCAAAGCTGGACGTGAATTTATTTAAAGATTTGTTTTTTTTATTTTACTACTGTATTCATATTTATTTATTCCAATCACATATTTATCTATTTATTGTCTGTACCTATTTATTTATTTATTTATCCATCATACATATTCACGTACATCTACATATTTTCTTGCCCATTTGTTTTTGTTGTTTTGGGCGTTGCAAACATTTTCATTGTTTGGAATACATATATACAATTATCCCAATTAATACGAATTTTTCTTCGGGGCCTGCTTGAAAGCTGAACAAATTCATAATCCAAAATATAAATAAATATTATAAAAAAACAGAGCGTATTTTTTTTTGGATTGAAATGGAGAAGGATTCTGCGCGGGCGTATAACACAAGGTCGAGAACTGCCAGAAATGATGATCTGGAGGAACACCTAGAAGGAGCCGTAGGTTTTTCCACCGGTGGCCTCATGCACACTCCTCCGAGGCCCGTCCATAGCACCAGCAGTACACTGGGACGCCGAGCCAGTAGTCGCGTCGGTGGTAGAAGCAGCAGTGGCCCAGGCGAACGAAACATACCGCCAATCGCAAAAAGAGGGCATCAAACAAAGTGTTGCAGGAGGAAATCCGAATGGGGTTTCAAGACTTGATGGGCGCGTTGAAAGAAGTTTGCAACCGCGAGCGAATAGCGGCGATTCAGCTGCAAATGGAGCATGGCAACCGCCAGTCAGCCAGAATCGGGGTGCGGTGCCAAAACGGCCGCATCAATACCAGGCTGAACCTCTAACACCAGCAAGAGGAACTTCGCGTCCAGTAGCAAGGCCAGCGGCAGCTAATTCCTCCAGTGGAGCTGGCAATAGCAGCAGCACAGCTCGAAATTGGCAAAATCCCGCAGCACAGTCGGCCGTCGAAGAGGCAACAGGCCGTAACGATGGGAGTGGTCAGCTGGACCCGCCTCCTCCGTATGTAGCGGCGAATGGCAGATCCGGATGGTGCCGCGTTGAAAAGTGGGACATCGTTTTCAGCGGCGATAAGGAAAAAATGGCTGTTGAAGACTTCGTTTTTCCAGGTCGAGTTCCTTCAGAGGCAGTGTCGCTGCGCATGGTCCGAAGTATTAAACAGTTTCCATCTGTTAGTAACTGGGCACGCTCGCGAGTGGTACTGGCAATACGTCAGGGACCACCGGGCAGACAGCTGGCCAGAACTAAAACGAAGCATGCTGTCCCGTTTAAAGGCGCCGCCGATGAATTCGAGCGCATGCGTCAATTGCGCGAAAGACGGCAGAAGGCAAGCGAAAGCGTTGAGGAGTACTTCCATGCCATGAGGAAACTGGCGTCGCGTCTCCACACAGCACCATCTGAAAACGAGATGATGAAATATATAAAAAAAGGATTAAAAATAGAACTAGCTCGTTATGTGTATGCGATGCGCGTGTACACGGTAGACCACTTACGTGACGAATGCGTAGAGGTGGAAGCTATGGTCCAGCGGCGAGAAGGCGTGTTCCCAACACGCAGCGGCACACGTTTTAGTGGCGGAAACCGTCCACCGGCAGTGGAGGAGTTGATCGACGACACTAACGGCGAGGAGTCGGCGGATTTCGGCGTAGTTGAAGAGGCGCGTTTGGCAAGGCGTCCGCAACAGGCGTTAGTTTGCTGGAACCTGCAGACAAGCCGGCCATAGTTTCCGCGACTGCATGTCACCGGAAAGGCGCGTCTTCTGTTATAGGTGTGGCAGGCCCGACACCTATAGTCCAACCTGTCCCGATTGCACGGGAAACGGCCGTCGGAGTGCGGAGCAGTGGGCGAATCGCGCTCGACACAGGTGCCCACCAGGATGACAGCGGAGCGGTCCTGAAAGAAGAATTTCATAAGAAAAATACCCCATATAGTAATAAGTTGAAATTTTTACCGTACGAGGAAAAGATGCGGGCATATCTGGAGGCGCGTAATAGAATTTTTGCCCAACATCAGTTAGATGGGATGAGGATGGTGACAGCCAAAGTTAAAAAGGCCCGAGCACGATTCCGAGTGAGAAGGCAGACGAAGAAGCTGGTAGCCGAGGCAGTGCGACGCGAAGGAGCAGCAGATCCGAGGATTTTTGCCGAAGTACTGGTACGAGGCCACGTGCTACGCGGTTTGCTGGATACCGGGGCCTCGGTAAGCGTGCTAGGCAAGGGCAGTCTGGAACTGCTGAAAGAGATTGGCATGGTGCCCAGAATTACATTTCGATAATTAAACAGCAGGCGGTGAAGACAGAGCCGTAATTGGGCGAGTGCGTTTACCAGTGGTGTATCGAGAAGAGGCCAAAGAAATGGAATTTTACGTATGCCCAGCACTCGAACAGAACGCGTATTTCGGCATCGACTTTTGGCGGCTGTTTAATTTGGCACCACTATTAATTCCTCCGGAAAAGCCAGACGTTAAAAGACTTGTCCTCGATGAATTGCTAGCTGATAGAGTGGCGCATTATGCGGACCAGGATGAAGTAAGGCCTGAACCAGATATGTGGAAATTGAATGAACAACAAAAGCTGCAATTGGAACAAGTAAAAAAGAATTTTTAACCTTCGAAGAAGCGGGATTAGGCAAGACTACTTTGGAGACTCACCGAATTGAATTGGTCAGCGGAGCAGAGCCAGTGAAAGACAGGCACTACCCTCTATCACCCGCTATGCAGAAGATTGTGTGGGATGAGGTGGACAGCATGCTGGCGCTTGGCGTCATCGAGGTAAGCGATAGTCCGTGGAGTAACCGCACCACCATAGTGCGACGGCCGGGCAAGAACCGCTTTTGCCTCGATGCCCGCAAGTTGAACAAACTGACAGTCAAAGATGCCTATCCGCTACCTTGCGTGGAGGGAATCCTATCTGGAATCGATCAGACATATTATATTTCCAGTGTGGACCTGAAATTTGCGTTTTGGCAGGTGGAGTTGGAGGAGTCCAGTAGAAGGTGCACTGCGTTTACGGTACCAGGGCGACCGTTGTACCAATTCCGCATGATGCCTTTCGGGTTGTGTAACGCCGCTCAAAGGTTGTGCCGGCTGATGGACAAGGTTATACCGAATGAACTGAGGTCCAACGTTAAAGTATATCTGGACGATTTGGTAGTATTCGCGGCTGATTTTGATACGCACTTGGAGTACCTGAAGAGAGTAGCTGAATGCCTCAAGAAGGCAAACCTGACGATAGGGTTACAAAAGTCGAAGTTTTGCTTTAAAACGTTGAAATACCTGGGATTTATCGTGGGCGGCGGCGTGCTTCGAACAGATCCAGAACGGGTGCAGGCGATACAGCGCATACAGGTGCCAAGGTCCGTAAAGGAGGTTCGAGCTTTCTTAGGAACCGCCGGGTGGTACAGGCGATTTATTAAAGATTTTGCCACCTTAGCGGCTCCGCTCACTGAGGCTTTGAAAAAGCGATCGGGAGGTAGGTTCTCACTCGGTGGCGAAGCTATTGCAGCATTTGAGGCGTTGAAGAAGGCGCTCACATCTGCGCCAGTGCTGGTACACGCGGATTTTTCACGCCCATTTTTTGTACAATGTGACGCATCCCATATTGGCGTCGGAGCCGTATTATTCCAGGTGGATTTGCAGGGAAACGAGAGGCCCATTGCGTTCTTTTCTGCCAAGATGAACAAGCACCAGGTGAACTACTCGGTGACCGAGAAGGAGTGCTTGGCGGCGGTATTGGCGATACAAAAATTCCGGCCATACATCGAAATGATGCCATTCACGGTCATAACCGATCACGCCAGTTTGAAATGGCTGATGTCCATGAAGGATTTGTCCGGGCGATTGGCTCGTTGGTCGTTGCTGCTCCAGGGCTTCGACTTTGAAATCACGCACCGGAAGGGCTCCGACAACATCGTGGCGGATATGCTGTCCAGAAGCACCGAAGCCGAAACTTTAGAGGAGTTGGATTTCTTCCCAGGAGACCTGTTGGGTATCGAAACCGCAGAATTCGAATCAGAGGAGTATCGGGAGCTGATTAGCGAAATTCAAAGTCAAAAAGATAAATTACCTGATTTAAAAATTGAAAACGGGGTGATCTACAAAAGACATCCTTTAATCGGCTAGAAGATCAGCTCGAAGGCAGTGTGTGGAAACTGTGGGTTCCGCGTGCGCTAACCGGCATGCTTATATCGAAGGCCCATACCGAAGCGTCAACGCATGGAGGAGTGTTGAAGACGTTGTCCTGGTTGCGGCGGCAGTTTTATTGGCCGGGAATGGCCAAAGACGTTGCGGAAGTGGTCCGAAAATGCGTGGTCTGCAAAGAGACGAAAGCCACCAATTACGGGATGCAGGTGGGAATTGGTGCAGAAGTCGTCACGGAGAGGCCGTTCCAGAAGTTATACATAGACTTCTTGGGCAAGTATCCGCGATCAAGGAAGGGGCACGCCTTCATATTCATAGTGGTAGATCACTTCACCAAATTCACGTTCCTGAAGGCGATGCGAGAGGCCACCACTCGGAGCGTCGTCGACTTCTTGGTGAACGAAGTGTTCCATACGTTCGGCGTTCCAGAAGTCATACACTCCGATAATGGTAAGCAATTCACGTCCAAGCAGTTTACAGACATGATGGAGGGCTACGGTGTTAAGCATCTGCGGACACCGGTGTATTCGCCGCAAAGCAACGCGTCCGAAAGGGTGAACCGGACTATACTGTCCGCGATACGGGCGTATCTGGGGCAGGATCACCGCGAGTGGGATCTACACCTTCCATCAGAAACAGCGTGCATTCTGCGACTGGAGTAACGCCTTTTTTCGCACTATTCGGCCGACATATGATGTTGCACGGTTCGCAGTACCGATTGGCGAGGAAATTAAGGTCCTTAGACGAGCACGAATTCGCAGCGTTGTGTACAGCAGACAGGCAATCCCTGTTGCAACAGAAAATCCAGGCACAATTGCATGCGGCGTATGAGCGCAGTAGCGTTCGCTATAACCGGCGTGCGCGGCGGCTAAGACTAGCGCCCGGTCAGGAGGTATACCGGCGAAACTTTGCATTGAGTGATTTCAGCCGCGCGTTCAATGCGAAATTCGCGCGGAAATTTCTAAAAGCTCGCGTAAGGAAATCCATCGGCACCAACGCATACGAGCTGGAAGATTTGCAAGGGAACTTGCTGGGGGTATTCCACGCAAAGGATATCCGAGTGTGACGCCTGTCCTAAGGCAGAATGGATGAATATAGGGAGGAGGATGCAGCCAGAGCTACTCACCTGAAGATCAAGAGTGGGTGTGGCCTACGTTGGGCGCCGCGGTAGTAGTCATCCGAGGCAACGCCGGACTCGAAGCAGAGGACTCCAACAACACCAGCCGTTTGATGCGCGCAAACATCACTTCGGGGCACGAGCGTCCGCCCACTTGGATATTTGCGGTGGTGTTTGCATCGGGCTGGTCACGAAGAATAAAAGGTGGCAGCGCTACGGAAGGCGCCAAGAATTTATAAAGGTACTGCAGCGCCATCTAGCGGTACCGAGCGAGGCACCATGGTGGCAACTGCAGCCACGCAGGCGCAGGGTTGTGTCCCGATGGCACCTCAAAGTGGGGGAAACGTCAAGGCCGTGATGAACGGATGCGCAAGGACGTAAAAATCCGCAGGCATACGACATCCGGCCTATAAAAGGCAAGCCGCAACACGCCATTCCTGTTTTTTGGGGCGACGGTGCAGACCCACGAGGCAGTGTTTTCTTTTGGTGAACTGGAGGCCGTGCTGAAACCTGCAAAAGGAAAGGAAGAACCAGAAGCCGTTCGAAGGTGAGCATAAGGATATAGATGCAAGGCAGAACTAATGCCGATGTATGCATACCTGTATATCCACTTAAATGTGCCGACCAGTGCTTAAATGCCTTTTGTTCCTTGGCATATAGATTTTCCGGCATATCGCCAAGTTTTCGGACAGCGGTGGAACCATACACAGCAGCTGCAGCGGCCGTCATAAGTAGCAGCACGAGCCGCATCGTAGCAGGAGCAACAGTGACAGCAGCAGATCCAGCACCAGCGTCTTCAACGACAGCAGCAGATCCAGCACCAGCGTTTTCAACGGCAGCAGCAGCAACGACAGTGGCAGCCGGAGCAAAGGCGCCCACCCAAGAAGTAGCAGCAGCAATAGCGGCGCCACCACAACGCAACAGCAGACACGTCCGTCTGCGCCATCAGCAGCGGAGGATAGACAAGCCGGTGAGTCCGTTCCTTGGCCACGCGCCGTGCCTATTGTTCGCGGTTGAGCAGCGACATCAGGCAGAGATCCCGCGCGCCTTACGTCGTGTCGTTTGTATGGGCTGCGCCTGCAGGGTCCCACACGCCGCCCATTGAAGTTTCTGCAAAAGAGAAAAAAAAAGGAAGATAAAACAAAATATATATACATAGATCATTAAAACCAAAACGAGGCAGAAAGTGGCACCTAGACAGAGCTTGGCGCTCTATTTAATTAATAAAAAATTCACACTCTTATACACTTATATTGTACGAAGATTGCCAATTGCAGTAGCGCGCAGTGTTTTATATTAGTCTTATATTTCTATTGCGCCCATGACTGTCGAGAGCTCTCGTTAGGATTTGGTTAGACATTTTTCTATAATTTTTTGTACCGCGCATATTTTTATCATACACATACACATATATCTACATACATATTTATTTGCCATAAACATACTTGCATGTTGGCGCACATAAAGAACCGCATTGGCCGTTGGCAAGCCTTCTTTATTTTGTTTTTATATAAAAATTCTTGTTCCATGTTTACATTGTTTGCACTCACACTCAATCACACTGAAATATATGTATGTTTGTAGCCACATGGTGATGATGCATTAAAGCAGCATCAGTAGGGGCGGGAGACTCACCTTTGCCATGGAATAGCCCAAGCACGGCCCAAATAAAGGGTATCCAAGAAACATTTTGCCTTTGGATACAGGCAGGGTGGGTACGCCTGGGATATCAACAGCTAAATCCCACACAGTTGTCCGATACCACAATTTCTGTCCGTCCGCACGTATATAATCTCCTTTTACAGTCATCCGTATTCGTACGGATGGCTTGAGGGAGTTATCCGTTTATTTGTTTTTTTTTGTCGCATTACGTTTCTTTTAGTTTATGTTAGTTTTTTTGGTTTGTTTACGTTTTGAATTCGGTTTTGTATATTGCGCGTCGAATTTATTGTAGTGATGGCATTTTGTTTATCGATGGAGGAACCGTGTTATCGGTTATTGTACGACTCACGCGGGCATAGGGTTGGAACCACACACCCAAGGAGAATTCCGATGAGCCAGCCGGCGTTGCCCAAGAGGAAAAGCGTAGTCGTAACAAGTGCAGCTTTTTGGAAAAGAAAATAAATTTCTTGGGACACTCCATTGAAAACGGCAGTATCTGGCCCGGCTCTGAGAAAACACAAGCTGTCCAAAATTTTGCAATACCGAAAAACATTAAAGGGATACAGTCATTCTTGGGTCTCACAGGCTTTTTCAGGAAGTTCATCAAGGGATACGCTAACATTGCGCGACCTCTAACAAACCTTTTGAAGAAAGATGTCCCGTTTAAGTTGGAAGCTGCCGAATTAAAAGCTATAGCTGAGTTAAAGAACGCTTTGTCAAATGAACCTGTTTTGAAATTATATTGTCGCGGTGCATCCACGGAACTGCATACAGATGCGTCAATAGAAGGCTTCGGCGCTACGTTATTCCAGAAATTTGAAGGACGTATGCATCCAGTATTTTATTGGAGCAAAAAGGCATCAGCGAGTGATTCAATGCGTCATAGTTACCTTTTAGAGGTAAAAGCCGCTTATCTTGCTATGGAAAAATTTCGCCATTATCTGCTTGGGATCAAATTTAAGTTAGTAACAGACTGTTCAGCATTTACACAAACCGTAAAGAAGAAAAACGTCCCACGTGAAGTAGCACAATGGATATTAAGCCTAGAAGACTTTCACTACCAAATCGAGCATCGAGGTGGAGAAAAAATGCAACATGTCAATTTTTTGAGTCGTTACCCGTCGAATGTACTTATTATTACATCAGAAGTTTCTGCACGTATTAAAGTGGCTCAACAGAAAGACGAATACATAAGAGCTATACTAGAAGTGCTTAAAAGCCGTCCATATGAATCATTTACGCTTAAAGGTGGAGTGTTGTACAAGCAAGTTGATGGCAACGATTTGTTGGTCATACCTAAGTTGATGGAACACGAAATTATAACTGCTGCGCACAACGATGGCCACTACTCAATTAAAAAAACAATGCATAATTTGCAGCAGCAATTTTGGATACCACATATGGAGAATAAGGTTATGCAAGTTGTTAATAGTTGCATACGCTGTATCATTCACAACAAGAAAACAGGCAAGCAAGAAGGACACCTTTATTGCATTGAGAAAGGTAGCAAGCCGTTGCATACAATCCATATTGATCACTTGGGACCAATGGATTGTACAGCTAAACAATACAAGTTTATTTTTGCTATGGTCGACAGCTTTACAAAGTTTGTATGGTTATTTACTACTAAATCAACTGGTTCCGACGAGGTTCTAAAAAAGCTGAACGAATGGTCAACTGCATTTGGCAATCCAACCCGAATAATAAGCGACAGAGGAGCTGCTTTCACATCCAATGTCTTCGAGGAGTATATTAAGTCAAACGCAATAGAACACGTTCTGACGACGACTGGTGTGGCTAGAGGCAATGGACAAATAGAACGCGTAAACAGATCGATCCTGTCAATAATTTGCAAGCTATCAGCCGAAGATCCATCTAAGTGGTATAAGTTTGTTCCGTGCGTCCAGCGAGCAATAAACTCACATGTTCACTGTTCAACGAAGAAGTCACCTTTTGAATTACTATTTGGTACGAAGATGCAAAATAAGTTCAGCGATAAAATCATTAAATTGCTACAGCAGGAGATCATCGAGGATTTCGACAGGGAGAGGCAGAGAATTCGCGAAGACGCTAAGAATCAAATCAATGAAGCTCAACAAATTTACAAGAAAAACTATGACAGAAGGCGCAAATGTGAATTTGTATATAAAGAGGGCGATTTAGTTGCCATCAAGCGCACGCAGTTTGTTGCAGGTAAAAAGTTGGCAAGTGCATATCTTGGACCTTATGAAGTCGTTAAAGCGAAACGCAACGGGCGATATGATGTCCGAAAAGCTGCTGATGTTGAAGGCCCAGTTATAACATCCACAAGTTCCGATTTTATGAAGCTGTGGAAATACACAAATGTTAACCAAGAACTTCTGTCGTCTGAGACAGACTCCGATTCTCAGGATGGCCGAATGTAAGAAGGGATAGTATTGCGGTCATGTGGCAACCCTATGAACAGATGAGAAGTCAGTCAGCAGGCAGTCAGTCGAGGAGTCGTTGAGAAGCTGCACACACAGTTGGTCGTGCAGTCGATACAGTTGAAACCGTCGTACTTAAAAGTTGTTAAGTTGTTAAGTAGTCAAGCTGAAAAGTTGTCGCGTCGAACATTAAGTTGCCATTTGTCTACATTTACTTTACCTTTTACATAACTCTATGTCTGTATCAATCAAATAATAAACATAAATAATAATAATAAAATGGATTAAACATTCATTTTTACATACATACATATGTATGCCTGTGTATGAATATAGCATGTATGTACATTCGTATTAATGTATACATTGGGCAATCGAACACAGTTGTTTGATTGTAAAAAAAATAATGCTCTAAAAACAACAACAACTGCAAGTCATTAGCTCGCTCTTCTTCTTTCGTTTTGACCATTTAATGTTAATTGCAAAGGCAAAACGCCAAAAGTTTACAGTTACCGTCGCTAGACAACGACTGCGTAAGCGATAGTAAAGCAGAAACCGAATAACGGAGCTACGCATATTCTGCTTCGTATTGCGGGCAGATGTATGTATTTATATGATTTGTTCTTATTGATGTCAATAAATAATTAGATTTTTTTATTTAAATATTCTGCTTATTGCATTCAAACTTCGATATTTTGATGGTATCGGTGGCTTCAACTATCGAAAGACTTACTCTAGCAAATTGAGATGAGAATTGTCAGTGCTTTTTTATCGTGGCTCATCGCTGCACGGCATTGACACGAGTGCCGTGTTTCATATTCCGAGTTTGTGCGTGACCGTATTGACTCAATATGGCACGAAAAGGCTTAAATATGAATCGCTGCACGGCATTGACACGAGTGCCGTGTTTCATATTCCGAGTTTGTGCGTGACCGTATTGACTCAATATGGCACGAAAAGGCTTAAATATGAATTTAAAATTAGGATATTATCTTAAAACATTGCGTTATCTCTATATATAAAACAGTTTGTCCTGACTAATTGCTGATCAACGCACAGCCCAAACGGTAAAAGATGAAATTTGGACTCAAGTATCCTTTCATAGTATCCATCATAGTGTAGGAGCACACTAAGAAAGGCTTTTGGAAAATTCCAGCTCCAAAGGGGGGAAAACGAGCTTTAAAAAATATTAGTTATAGTGGTCATAGTTTGCAAGAACAAAAATGTAACGGACTACTGAAAATTTTTTTGTCAAGAACAGAAAATGTTCATTTAAATACCTTAAATGCCTTCCTACTGGTAACTTATAAGGTGTAACATATGGGTAGGTTTTGCACACACAAAATAAATTCAATTGGAAACATTATATTGAGCCGGGTTAAGACGGGCAATACCTGCTAGTGTAGTTATAAATGGCTAAAACGGGGTTTGAAGTTTGACATTTTTTCAACACACAAATAGCATTCTCTTCGTTTGGGCCTATTTCAAATTTCGTGTTACTCTTGGTTAAATCAGTTAACGGCTTGGTAATGATAGCATAATTAAAGATAAACTTTCTGAAATAATGGAATTCGTCATACCAAACGGCACCTTACAAAACTGGTATTGCCCGCTCTGCGTCACAAATGATGTGTACTTTTTGCTAGACTCCGAAACTGGTACATGGAAA